TCTAGTAAGCATAATGGATGAGCTTTTGAGATGCAGTAAATGCTTATATGCACATCAAGTCTCTCTAAGGTAAGCAAGCTAAACTAGAGAGTTGTGCCTGGCAGTCTAACAAAGTCACTCAAATGGAACCTCCAAGGCCACTGCTGGGCTGGGATAATCAGTAAATCATTATTTGTCTCTAATACAATACAGCATTGACAATTGCTGTTTATATATCTCTTTTACAAAATGCTTTATACACATTGTCTTCTTTGAGCCTTATAGATATTATAAATACAATTATTCGCATATTACAGATGAGAAAACATGATTAAGTGGCATCTACAAGGCTATACTACTAGGGTAGTTCAAACCTAGGTCTTCTTAACCCCACGTCCAACATTCAATTCACTATACTAGGGTGGATCTCACTTTGGTCATGTTGTTAAATGCTGCAATACTGTCTCCATCTATTTCTTTCTAAAATTCTGATCATACAGTTATATATTTAGAATTAGAAAGGATTTTCAGACCCATTGAGTTGAATTCAATATCTCATAGATGAGGAAATTAAAGCCCCAAGAGGTTAAGTGATCTCGTCAAGGTCACATAGCTAGTAAATGTCTGAGGCAGAATTTGAAACCAGGTCTTCCTGACCACAAGTCCAGTTACCTTATCTACTACAATACTCTGTTCATCAAATATAAACTGGTTTCTTCCCACACTATGAAAATTTTCACTTATTTCTTGTTTCAATGCAATTAAGCAAGTATTTAATGAGTATTTATTGTATATTATGGTAGTATAATCAGGTCCCAATTAATGCAGATAAATAATTCTATTAGTTGGTAGCATTATTTGAATTCACACTGCATATTTCCATGGGGATGGAAATAATTATTATCTTTTACATGATTACAACTTTGAACAGAGTGAATTTTAATAGATGTGACCACTTCTTGGGATTCATTCATTATTTACACTAATTAAGACCTAGCTGTGGACAGAAAATGATGCAATCTTTTATTCTAACAGCATATAATCATGTTGAGGAGACAATGTTTACATGTATGAAAGCCCCAAGATCACAGGGCACATTTATTCTAATGGAGCCTATAAATTAATTTATAAATTAGCTAGGTTCAAAGCCACCTAGCTAAACTTTGTCAATTTACAGAGGAGACTGAATCCTAGAGAAATTGTGATTTGGTAATCATACAACAAATTATTGGCAGGATCTTTTTTTTCTTCTATTTTGTTTTGTTTCCTCTTTCTTGTGATTCCTCCTATTGGTTCTAATTTTTCCTTTCAATGTGACTAATGTGAAAATATGTTTAATAGGAATGAATACGTAGAGTCTATACCAGATTGCATGAGGTCTTGGGGAGGGAGGTGGGGAAGGAGGGAAACTCAAAAGCTTATGGAAGTGATTGTTGAAAACTAAAACTAAATTAATTAATAAAAAAGATAAAAAAGTTACTGGCAGGGTAATCACTAGGACCTGGGTATAATGGACCTTAGATGCAACTTCTTCCCTACTTTACAGATGAGGAAATTGAGGAGTAGAGATATTAAGTGAGTTGTCTCAGGTCAAACAGCTAATAAATGTTGGAGGTAAGACTTGAACTCAGGTCTTTCTGACTCCAAGTTTATCACTCCATCCATCGTGCTACCTCATTATATCAAGTCGGACTTCTCCAAGTATGGCACCTTTTCTGCTATCACAGGAACCCAAAGGTTTGTGAAACATGGACTTCTTTTGACAATCAAGTCTCTGATATTATCCCATGTCCATGCTATCCCGTGCCCTTCATTTTAGGTGGTAACTTTCTGTATAAACTCCTACAGAGAAGTAGCTCCCTAGTGGATCCTGACTTTATAATTAAATAAATTTTAGTCTTTTAGCCATCAGCTCAGGCAAACGATGTTTCACATCAAGTTTCCATTCTTCCAAAGCATTCTGCCTCTGATTTGGGGTTGGGGAGAAAGCAGATGTCTCTTGCAAGGCCTTACAATATTGTGTAATATTAAATTACAGGGTTTTTTTCCCCCTTCCTTCAGTGAATTCTGATGTAAGGGTAAGGGAAATCAGTGAACGAGAACTGGTCCCCATTGTACATGTAGCCTCAAGCTGAGGGTAGGACCCCTCCTTGGACTGTTTAGGAATGACACAGGAGAAAGAACAGTCAGTCAACAACAGAGTTGCCAAGGCCAGAGAATTGTCAAAGAAAATCCAGCATGTTTCCAGTAGTGCTCCAGCTTGTGGATCTTAATTCAAACAGAAGGTTTTGTATACTTCAAGATAGTGTTTGCCAGATCAACAAAGCTAGGTCAGAGTAATTCCTTATGGCAACCTCTTTGAGATTTCCACTCGTACAGAATAAGTCTCAATGAAACAGGAGTCAGACTGGCACTTAGACCATGGTGAACAACTGCAATCTGTAAAATTATTGGCATGGGTTGGGTTTGACACAGCCAACAGTGTCAGTGATTATAGTCATGGCATTTTTCACCCGTGTTCATATTCTCAAATATCATCATAGCTTTCTTAGAAAAAGACATGGCGGGGGGGGGAATGGAGTCTGAATGCAGATTGAAGCAAACTTTTTTTTGTTTTACTTTTTTTTTAATCTGTTTTCTTTGACAACATGATTAATAGTGAAATACGTTTTGCATGACTTCACATGTACGACCTATATCAAACTGCCTGCCTTCTTAATGAAGGAGGAGGGAAAGAAGGAAGGGAGAGAATTTGTAACTCAAATATTTTTTTAAAAAGTGAATGTTAAAAATTGTTTTTACATGTAATTGGGAAAAACAGAATATGTTTTAAAAAGAAGGAATGGGTGTGGGGAAAGAAATTCTCATACTCTCAGTTTTAAACATCTTGCTTATTGCCTTTTTAAACATTAGTAAATACCAGAATCTGTAATTCAGATGATGTTACTCTTAAGTTACTAGCGTTGCTGTGGGAAATGTTTATATGTAGCCAAGTTGAATCAGATATTATGATATTCTTTCCACTTATATTTTTAATGGCAGAGTAGATAAAGTATCAGACCTGTAGTCAGGAAGACCTGGATTTAAAACCTACCTCTGACAGTTGTTAGTTATGTGACCATGGACAAATCACTTAACCTTTCTCAACCTTCCCTTCCTCATCCGTAAAAAGAGGGTTATAATCCCTGCAGTATCTGCCACCCAGGGCTACAGAGAAGCTTGCATGATACAATGAATATAAAACATTTTGTAAGCTTTGAACTATATACATGGCAGTTATTGTGATAATTATTAGATTACTTATAGCTATATTATTTGATTACTTAATAAAGCCATCCCTTTCCAACACCTACTATATTTGTGACAAATTAAAATACACTGGCTTCTACTTGTTTGAAAATTTTGCTATGGTGACCTCCCAAGTAGTCCCTGCTATGGGTGAGAGGAAGGTCATACATTTAGGATGTATTTTGGTTCTACATAACAGTGGCTTACCCCAATGCCCCCATCCCTAGGAGACACACATCCCTGTTGCACTTTCTACTTGCATTGTATTGCTCTGACAACTGTAATTTGAATTGATCTGAAAAAGATCTAGTATAAAACATATTTTGATAGTACAAAAAAAAGAAAGGAAAGAGGGAAGAAAGGAAGGAAAAAAAGAAGGAAAGAAGGAAGGAAGGAAGGAAGGAAGGAAGGAAGGAAGGAAGGAAGGAAGGAAGGAAGGAAGGAAGGAAGGAAAGAAGGAAGGAAGGAAAGAAGGAAGGAAGGAAAGAAGGGAGGGAGGGAGGGAGGGAGGGAGGAAGGAAGGAAGAAAGGAAGGAAGGAAGGAGGGAAGGAAGGAAGGAAGGAAGGAAGGAAGGAAGGAAGGAAGGAAGGAAGGAAGGAAGGAAGGAAGGAAGGAAGGAAGGAAGGAAAGAAGTCCCTCAAGCAATGGATGGTGTATTTCACAATTAACAAAGAGTTAAGGGGAAGACTTTGGACACTGAATTGTAGGCCATTCAAGGACCACAAATTTATGTGGCTGAGAGAAAACAAGGCCCCTCTGTTTAGTCAAAATAACTGCTACTATTTAAATGAAGAAAACATTTAATTTCCATTCTAGGCATTTTTCCCTTAAAGACTTTCAGGAAGGCCATGACATTATAAGGTGGAGCTTTCTAGAATTGACCAAAAAATTATGACAGCTCTTTCCAGTCAGAGCCACACCTGTAATATGATATAACTCTTGATTTGGAGTCACTGGTTCCTTTAGTTAGGTAAAAGACTCCATTTTTTTCTTAGACAGAAAACACGTATATTCCAGTGTGCTCCAATTTAATATCTTAAATAGTTTTGAGAACCTGTTATTTTCTCTAGGCCTCAAAATGGAATGCAAATAAGGGATTAGAAATTTACTTTCTTTAGTCATAGAGACTAATATATATACATTTAGTTTCACAATGAAATATGCCCCCATTGCCAGATATTAAGAGTTTATCAGAACTGACAATAATAAATGCCAAACTTCAAGTCTATCAATTTGGTTTTCCTTCTATCCCTACAGCACATACCCTAACTAGGTGCACATTTATTTATTTATTTATAAATTACACAATGCTGCAAAATATATATATATATATATATAAATAGGCCTTTCAAAAGGATAAAGATGGAATAATATTTGAACCGAGTCAACAGAGAGCCACTGAAATTTATTGGAAGAGTTGAGTAATGTGAATCTCAGACCTGAGTTTTAGAAAAATCATTTTGGAAGCCACGTGGACGATGGATTCAGGCAAGGAGACCAGTTGGACCGCAAACAGGCCACTGCTATTGAACAGACCAGCTGAGAGGTGACGAGGGTCTAAACTAGGCTTGTGGCTGTGTGAGTGGAGATAAGAGGATGGACGCAAGACATATTATTTAGAAAGCAATGTGACATGATTAGCAAGATTTTCTGAAGGAAGGACTGACTGAACAGAATTGGCAATAGAAAGAAAGGAACCAAATATGATGCCAAAGTTTCAAACCTACGTGACTTGGAGGGCAGTTATACCATTTAGGAGTGACAGTTGATTTTGAGAACCTGATGAGTTTAGTTTCAAACCTGATGAGTTTAATGGATGTCAAAGTAGAAATGTTTATTAATTGATTGCAGATGTAAGATTTGAGTGCAAGATTGGGGTACAACTAGAAAGATGGAACTGGATAGTATTCAATTTAATAAACTTTTATTAGCTACCTACCATGTTCAAAATGATGTTCTAGGGATACAGGGGTGGGGAACCAGAGGCCTCAAGGCCACATGTGACCCTCTGGTCCTCAAGTGCAGCCCTTTGACTGAATCCAAACTTCACAGAACAAATCCCCTTAATGAAAGGATTTGTTCTGTAAAACTTGGACTCACTCAAAAGGCTGCACCCAAGGACTTAGAAGGCCACACGTGGCCTCAAGTTTTCAGGTTCCCCACCACTAGACTAGGAGATACAAAGAGAAATGAGTCATGACCCCTGCCTTCAAGGAGTTTCACATCCATTAGGAGAGATGATATGTATACAATAGGAACACAAAGGAGAATGGATATTTCCAGGAGAGCTACAACTAGGTGACTCAATGGATAGAGTGCAGTACTGGACTCAGGAAGACTCATCTTCCTGAATGCAAATCCAGCCTCAGACACTTACTAGCTATGTGACCCTGGGCAAGTCACTTAACCATGTTTGCCTCAGTTTTCTCATCTGTAAAAATGAACTGAAGAAGGAAATGGCAAATCACTTTAATGTCTTTGCCAAGAAAACCCCAAATGGGGTCACGAAGAGTCAAACACAACTGAAACAATAAACAATGAAGTATAAAAAGGCAAAAAAAAAATTATCCTAAGGAGGGAACAATGACTTCACTGATTGGAGGGTGGGGATGGAGAGAAGAAGAGTAAATGCTGGAAAAACTCAGGGCGAAGGTGATAATTAAGATGGGCTTGGAAGAATAGGTGGTATTTCAACCACCACAGGTGAAGAAAGTCAGGAATTACAGTCCAGACATAGGGCATACGAGAACAGAGGCAAGAAAAGTCAGGACAAGTTCAGGGGCTGGTGAGTATCTAATTTGTCTGGAGTATAAAGAAACTCAAGGGGAATAGTGGGAGATAAGTTTGGAAAAGTAGATAGATAGGAATCTGTGCCTTTAGATTGGACTTTTTGCCACAGAAGAGGTAATTCAAGAATTAACTGGAATCATGGAATTTCAGATTTGGAAGGGAACTCAGAGACCATATAGTCCAAACTGCACAAGAACAAGAATTCTCTTTACCCCTACAAATACAAATCCAGCTTCTGTCTGAACACCTCCACTGATGGAGAACTCGCTACCATTATAAAGCAGCTCTTCCCTTCTACATCTCTAATTGTTAAGATATTTTCCCCTACATCAATTAGTTATTGGTCAAAGATGAACAGAAGACAAGGACTGAATCTCTGGACTAGAAGAACTCTGAATCTAGCCTCTTTGACCTACAATTCTTACATATAGAGAAAAGTGCACATAGAAGCTATTTTTTTTTCTAATTTGAGCATTTTATTAAAATTGACCTTGATTACATTTTATTGGCTAAGAGTTTTTATACAGGAATTCCATTCATTCATTCAGTTATTATTTCATTCATTCAGTTATTATTGATTGATTCATTCATTCATTTAGTAATTAACCTGTGTTAATTCAAGAGGCATTTATTATTTCTACTACTTTGTGTCATGCAATCTCATGGGCATACAAAGGGGAAAAAGGACCAATCTTTGTCCTCTAAGACTTTATATTCTTCTTCATTGGAGACTTTACATTCTTTACATTCTTTTACGTGGACACAATTAAGTAAATACAAAATATGTAAAATATGAATATAAAGTAATGGAGGGGAGGCACCCATCTACTCTCTGAGGATAGGTATAGTACTAAGTACTTTACAAATATTACCTCATTTGATTCTCACAACCACCCTGGGAGCTAAGTGCTATTATTATCCCCATTTTACAGTTGAGGAATCTTAGGCCCACATAGGCTAAGTGACTTGCCCAGGGTCATATAACTAGTAAGTGTCTGAGGTCACATTTGAACTCAGGTCTTCCTGACTCTAGGCCCAGCACTCTATCCAAAATCTCTGGAATTCAAGGAATCTAGAGATTCTATTATACTGAAACTTTTTGTCTATTAGTAAGGTTTCATTAGAAAAGTGAGAAAAGTAATTTAAACCCTCAGCTACAGCATGTCTTATCCTCCTGTAATATAAGAAGTTGCATCCAAAATTCTGAGAAAACTAGTAGATAAAAGATATTAAAAGCATTACTCAGAAAGGGAAGGTGAACAGCTAAAGGCATGTCAGTTTCACGTCAATAACAACTATTGAATATATTTTGAAACCTGACATTCTTAAAATTTAATTGTGAGATGAAAGCATCCAGTTTAAGTCTCTCACTGCCGAATTGTGTTTCAGGCATCAAAGAAGGAAACATTTCTGCAAGTAATGCCCAGTAGAGTAAAGCAAACTGAGTTCAAATACTTCAAGTACTGAAAAACAGAGATTTTTCAACTAGTATTTTGGCAAAGGTTGCTCCCTGGCTCTGGGCCTGCTCATTTGGAATGTGAACACATTCACAGGAGTGGACAATGTCCTCTTCTAGGAGACATTCACCATGTCCCATTTATTTGTACATCCTGTGGTGAAGAACAAAACTTCCATTTGAAATAGGTATTCAGAAAAGGTTGTCAAAATAATTCCCTCGGCTTAAAACCCTAATTTACCTCATCCACCAGTGTTCTGAGTTACTTGGATGGTGAATACTCTATACATCACAAAACAAAAGTAATTCTGAGGCAATTCTGGGAAGCAGAGCAAAAACTTGACAAGGAGTGAAGAGACTTGTATTTTGTTCCTGGCTCTTCCATTAACTTGCTCTGCAGGGAAGTCACTTAACCTCACCATGTTTCCATTTCTACATCTACAAAACTGTGATAATTTATCATTTTGTATCATGAGCTCACTGGATGGAAGGCATGGGTTTCCTTAATTCCACTCTACCCCAAAGGGCAGCAAAAGTCTGCTGATGTCTTTGAGCAGCCCAAAATTTGAGTTCTGCGAAACAAAAGACAGGCCTTTTCAATATGAATCACAAAATGCATATTCTTTCAAATCAATGGGCATTTATTAAGTGCCTGTTACATGCAAAGCACTATGTATTAGACTCTGAGGATACGAAGATAAACTAGAAAATAGTTTTTGCCCGCAAGAAGCTTACGTTCCAGAGGATGGGTATAACATATATACAGATAAGTAAATACAAGGTAATTTGAGGAGGGAGACAGTACCAACTTCTAGAGCATAACTTCTTCATCTTTTTATGTCATGCACACTTTGGTACTCTAGTGAAGCCTATGAACTCCTTCTCAGAATAATTAAAAAAATAAATTGAATAATATAGCATAACAAATGTAACAATAAATAAAATATAATGTAATCATATTAAATATTAAAAAATAAATGGAAGGAAATGCTAAATTTCACTTAGAAGTTAATGAAAATAAAGATGTCAAATTTTCCTATGTAAGTTCACAGGCATTTTGAAATCTATTCATGTCCTTCTTGGGGCCAGGGAGGAGGGTCCATGGATCACAGGTTAAAAATCCCTATGAACTAATGGGATCAGGAAATACCATAGAATGGTATATTTCAATAAAATTAGTTTCTTCCATCAGTGTGGGGATTTTTAAAACACCCTTAAGATTTCAATATTTCTTTAGAGAATGAAACATAAAAGTGGTCATAGAGGTTCTATATCTCTTTTTCCACAATATTTTGGGGCTATTCATAGAACCTAATTCTGAATCCAAGAAAACTAAGTTCACGTGAGAAAATGAACCACCATATAACATTCATGCAACGTCCACTACGGAGTAAAGTGAGAAGAGACACAATCTGGTGAAGTGCGAGGACATTGGATGTCAAATCAGAAAGCCTGAGTTCGAGTCCTCATTCTACCTTTCATTAGCTATGATACCGGATAAGTGATGGTGAGGATGATACTTCTATATACCTCATAGTGCATTGAAGAACAGCAGTTAAATGTAATCTACTATGCCTTCAAAAAATCCCAAAATTGGTCACTACCTAAGAGAAAATAAATGGTAATTATTAAAATATTTATAAGTAATCAACTATTTGCCTCTGAAAAATTGACATATCTGGGAGGAGTATTCCATTGTCCATGGAATAATGTTCATATCAATTGGACCCCTATAGCTCCTTTCTCAGACCTGAAAGATGATAGCCAAGATATTGACTCTCTTCTTACCTCAGTGTCTCCCTTCTGTGATATGATAATGACATCATTAATTTTGCTCTACCAAAGTATCAGGAATCATAATCTGAAGCCTATAAAGCAGTTTCAAAGTTTCAGGCAAAAATTTTTAAAGCACATATTGTTTAATGTTCTCTCATTAACTTTTGCCCATGTCTACCCAGTCCAAAGCACTCATAATTAAAATTAGGAAGTAGAGGGGAAAATTGTTTTCAACACATTTCAAAAAATTCCATTAAATTCTCAGTGGCATATTCAGAATCCAACATGACACATTTAGTTCCCACTGGGATGTCAAAAGTCTTTTGGTAACATAGTCCAAATATGAAAAAGCAGATCATAACTGTTTTCATTTCCTCAGCCCTCAGGGCTCAGACTTGGACAAGAATCAAGTCAAGAGGGTCATTAGTCCCTAAACAGAGCTCATCAGATTATATTGATAATCCAGTTACTGAGAAGGGAAAAGGGGAATCTAAAGAAAGGAAAGTATCTTTAATTTAAAATCATGTCTGAGGAGAAAAGGTGATAGAAAGGACAAAAGAGAGTAGGCATAAAATCATGAGATAATTTTAAAAAAGAGACATGATCCCCCAAAAGCCTAATCCCTCCTTAGACCAAATCACTTTGCATTTATTTTGTATCTACCCATACATATAAGTCCATGTACCTCAAGAGCAGACACTTTTTTTTTTACTTTTAACAT